TGAGCCACCCAGGTTCCCCTAATTTTTCTTTTTTCTAGTGTTTAGAAATAAAAGTAAATACAGGATTACCTGACGTGGGAAGTATCAAAACCAGTTTTCCTAAAAATATTATATGAACGAAAAACAGCAGTAGATTGTGATCCTCAAAATAATATCAGTTCCCCATTCTAATTTTTTAAACCTATTTATGTTTCCTACCACTTGATACATTTCATTTCCTTGCCGTAACAGATATTCCTATGATGCCAGGCCACAATATAATTTTTTACAAATAGCAAACATTTGTTCTTCTTACAGTTCCTACTGGAAGCAGATTACTCCTCAAGCTATCAGGCAAATGCTCTTTGATTTCAGCGAATTTGCAGTGGAGTGTGTGGGTATCTATTATCCATTGCCACAATAAAGCTGCACAACAACCAACACACCTGTTTAAGCCCAGCTGTCCTGAGCAGGCTTGTCTGACCTTGGCAGGTAGCTCTGCTGACCTGGGCTGGGTTTGCTCACATGTCTCGGGCCCAGCTGACTGATGGCCAGTCTTAGGATGGCCTCTGTTGGAATGATGAGGATGACTTGGCTTGGCTGTCTCCAGTGGGCTAGTTGGGGCATAATCACCAGTTCAAACACTTTTTCAGCTTCTGCTTGTGTCATATTTGCTAGTATCATATTAACCAAAATAATTCATAAGGCTGACCCCAGAATCAGAGTGGGAGGGCATGGATAAGGGATGGACACAGGGGTGAGGGGTAAAGTATGGAGGAGTGGAGAATTGGGATTATTTTTGTATTATACCACACATGGCCTAATTTTTTCCAGTTTGTCAGCTAATAAAGCATTCAATGGAGTCAGATATCCCCATGACCAACATTAATGATATTAGCTACTTTGACATTGGGTTGGCTTAATGCTGGGGAAAAGAAGCCAGCATTTGTTTTATAACAACAACAGTAACAACAGCAAACCAAACCGTGCTTTTGATAAAGCACCAATAGGGGCGCCTGGGTGGCGCAGTCGGTTAAGCGTCCGACTTCAGCCGGGTCACGATCTCGCGGTCCGTGAGTTTGAGCCCCGCGTCGGGCTCTGGGCTGATGGCTCAGAGCCTGGAGCCTGTTTCCGATTCTGTGTCTCCCTCTCTCTCTGCCCCTCCCCTGTTCATGCTCTGTCTCTCTCTGTCCCAAAAATAAATAAACATTGATAAAACACCAATAAATTAATTTATGAGTTTTATTAAGTATTGTAAGACAGTTATCCATTCATTCCTGAAAAAAAAGGAAGCAGCACATCAGAGATTCCCCTGATGAGGCTCAGAGACTAGTATTGTCCCTGGGACACACTTGATGAACTCCTGATGAAAATAGGTGTATTTTGTCAATTTGAGTGTATTTTCACACAGGTGAACTTTTGTTTTATGTAGCTCATCCCATAAAATATAAAATCTCCTAATCCTAGCAAATACCAAATCTCCTGTTACATATTATTAAATATTGATGGTGCTGTTTAAAATGATTATAAAAGCTGATTTCAGACTGGCATCATTCTTCAAAGTAATTTCTTAAAAGCATGATAAAATGGAAAGAACTATTGTTTATCCACACCACTTGCATTTTTCATATCCACGACGTTGGCAAGACCTTTAGGCTTTTCTCTATTATCTTTACCTACAGTTTATGCTCTTTTATTACACATTCTTTCACCTGATCACTTTGGATTGATCATGACAGTTAAGATAATTTTGTTTCTAAGTGATACTTGGTATTTTGCTGATCAGTGAGGGGAACCCTGAGGGATAAGGAGAAAATATGGGTATATTGATAATGCAACACAAGAATGTTTGTAGCCTGCAGTTGTTCTGTGGTTACTGCACAAATAGCGTTTTCTTTTCTTTTCTTTTTTCTTTTTCTTTCTTTCTTTCATTTTTGGTTTGTTTGTTTGAGAGACTTTTGAACATAATCTGGAAGTTTGGTGTTGTGTTTGGTATTGATTTTATGGGCAACTACCCCTCCACCCCAGCTTTACTGAGATATAATTGACATATAACATTGTACAAATATGAAGTGTATAATATCTTGATTTAACACATTTATACAGAGCATCACCCGTTAATTTTTTTTTTTAGTGAGAATATTTAAGATCTATTAGCAAATTTCACATATAAAATACAGTATTATCAACTGTAATCATTGTGTTACACATTAGATCTTCAGAAATTATTCATGTTGGGGCGCCTTGGTGGCTCAGTTGGTTAAACATCAGACGTTAGCTCAGGTCATGATCTCACAGTTTGTGAATTCAAGCCCCACATTGGGCTCTGTACTGACAGTGCAGAGCCTGCTTGGGCTTTTTTTTTCTCTGCCTCTCTCTCTCTGTCCCTCTCCCATTTATGTGCTTTCTTTCTCAAAATAAATAAACTTAAAAAAAATCATCTTCTAACTGGAAGTTTGTACTCTTTGACCAATAGCTCCCATTTGTCTTATGCCTTCAGTCCCTAGCAGCCAGCAGTCTAGTCTCTATTTCTGTGCATTCATCTTTTTTAGATTCTGCATATACATGATTTACAGTATTTGTCTTTCTGTCTGACTTACTTCACCTAGCATAATGCCCTCAAGATCTGTCCATGTTGTTATGGGGTGCCTGACTGGCTCAGTCTGTTGGCCTCCAACTCTTGATTTTGACTCAAGTCATGATCCCAGGGTTGGGGGATTGAGCCCTGCTTTGGACTCCACACTGAGCATGGAGCCTGTTTAAGATTCTGTCTCGTGGGACACCTGGTGGCTCAGTCGGTTGAGTGTCCAACTTGATTTCGGCTCAGGTCATGATCCTGAGGTTCGTGGGATCAAGTGTTGTGTCAAGCTCCTCACTGTCAGTGCAGAATCCTGCTTGGGATTCTCTCTCCCTCTCTGCCCCTCTCCCACTTGATCTCTCTGTCCCTCTCTAAATAAATAAACATTAAAAGGAAAGGTTCTCTCTCCCTCTGCCCCTCCCCCACTTGCACTCTCACTCTTTCTCTCTCTAAAAAAAAAAAAAAAAGATCCAACCATGTTGTCACAAACAGCAGGATGTCCTTTCTCAGAGCTGAATAATATTCCACCACACATATATACCAAATTTTCTTTATCCATTCACCCACTGACAAACACTTAGGTTGCTTCCATATTTTGGCTATTGTAAAAATGCTGCAAATGAACATTATGGGGTGCAGATATCTTTTTCAAATAGTAATTTCATATACTTTGTATATATATCCAGAAATGGAATTGTTGCATCAGATGGTAGTTCTATTTTTAATTTTTTTGAGGAACCTCCATGCTGTTTTCCACAGTGGCTGCACTAGTTTGCATTCCCACCAACAGTGCAAGGGGGTTCCTTTTTCTCTGCATCCTCATCAACACTTCTCACTTGTCTTTTTTCATTGATGGCCATTCTAACAGGTGTGACATGGTATCTCATTGTGATTTTGATTTGCATTTCCCTGATGACTAATGATATCGAGCACCTTTTCATATCACAAACAGCTTTTAAATAAAATTTAACTTATTTTGTCATAATATTGCCTAGTAATACCAGATGGTGATGAACTTTTAGAAATTAAACCTCAAGTCAAATATAAAGTTAATTTGGCTTGAACGAACGAGTTTTAAATTCAAAATTCATCTGCCCAAGCTTTACACAAATCCACGTCCAAATCTGAGCACCTGCTATGTAGGGAAAGGGTTAACATTAGGCAGGGAGAGATAAGGGACCTTCAGGGAGGCAGGCAGCAGACGAGTTAGAGAAAAAAAAAAAAAAAAAAGATAAACGTATTCAGACCTGCCTGGGCTAGGTGCCATGAGTGGAGGCTCACAAACTTTCTGATAAGGTCCCAATAAAAGGGGACAAAAATCCTCCCTAACTACCCAGTCAAGACCCCTCTCACTCTTGAGAGCTTCATACTTTCTCAATAAACTCACTGCTTTGCTCACTCTCTGTTATCCACCAGATTCATTCTTCCACTCTGTGAGACAAGGACCAGCGTCTCCCAGCCTCTTGTAATACTGCTATTCTATTTTGTTTGTTTAATACAACTGCTATACCAACAAACTTTAAAATCGGGAAAGTACGTGCAGACCAACAACCTTATCTATTCTTATCACAACCATAGCTACAAATGTCTTCTATCTTGAAATGTCAAGGCACTAGTAGAACGGCAGAGTATTAACTGCACATTTGAATGACTGTGCCTCTAAAATCTGGGCAAGGAGGATACCAAATCCCAGCCTTCTCCCCGAATTCAGAAAGCTTTCCCCTTCCATTAAATAAATGTATATGTTTCTAGGTGATGTCTCCTTTTATTTATACAAAACACAGACACATGAAACTGGAAGGTTATTTGAACCGTAGGAGGCTGAAAACTAAAGGTAAAAAAGGAAGACGCTAAACACGCCCCTTGCAAACTCCAGCAGGCAAATCCGCAGGCGGCCCCAGGGCGTAGGAGGTTACCCAAGCAGGGCTGGCCTGGGTCCCACAGCCCAAGAGCCTAGGCGTCACAGCCTCCAGGCTGTAGGGGCCGCTGTGGCGCTGAGCCGGCTGGGCGCGCTGGGCCGCTCTCTCCCGCAGGCAGAAACCAGGCGGAGCGGAGAGGGAGCAGGTGACCTCTGGGCAGGTGTTTGGCGGCGGGTGACCGGTGGCGGGGCCGCGGGCTGCCTGCAGGAACAGGACGGCAGCCCCACCGCGCGCTGGTGCCAGGTCTTGGCGGGCCCGGCCGCCCTGCGGCCTTACTCCCAGGTGCGTTGGACCTGACGGCGTTCTCCCGAGCACCCCGACCCCTCGGCACTCCGTGGGCGCTCTGAGCGGTCTCGGGGATCTGTGGCCCCACAGGACCTATTTCCCGCCCCTTACGTGCTAGGAGCCCGGGCCTCTGGTCAGTGCTCTATCCATGGACACCTCCACCCCAAGAACCCTCCCATTTCCTGTACAGTCACTTGGTGTCCCTGCTCACCAAACTCCTGTTTAGGAGGAAGTGGTGTTGTAATTGTTTTCACTGGAGGTGCTCTTTCCTTTAGTAACTGTGTTAAAAAGTCTTATGTTCCACTTTGCAACACCGTGTCTGAAACTTAATTGAATGCAGTTTCTTTTTCTGGAGGCTTCAGATGCATCTGTCTTCGAGAAATAACCAGCTGTAATGTAGGTACCACAGTATGGGGAGGGGAGTAGACCTTAATAATACTTTACAGCCCTCAGATTGTAACTAGGCCATTGTGAAAATCTTTCTCCCTTACTCAGGTAAAGTAAATTCAAGAGATGGAAAGATACTTTTTAAACAGTATTTTTTTTTTACACCAAAAACAACAAATACGGAATCCATTTAAAACATTTAAGTGATTGCAATTTTATGTTTCATAATTCTGGAAATAACTTGTAGATGCAACGTCTTATCGATTTTGAAGTAAGGTGAGGTCAAGTGGTGGAATAGGGGTGGGCTTGGACATTGAGAGACCTGGATTATTTTACTCCTAATGGCAAAGACACAATCTCTTTGGGTCTAGGTTTCTCTGTTTAAAAAAAAAAAACAAAAAAAACCGAATTGGACTAGATGGTAAGCAGATAATGGCGACCATTTACTGAACATCTGTTACATCCTTTAAAAAAATATTATCTAAAAAAAATGTTATCTCAATCTACAGAGCAGTTCTATGCAGTAAGATAACTTTACCCCTTTAGGTGGAAACTGAGGCCCACAGAGGTTGTCACTTATTCAAAGACCTCCAGCTTATAAATAATAAAGTTGTAATTTGAGGCTATGCTTCCTCCCCTCAAGACATAAATCCCTCTGATTCTAACCCAAACTTGTTTATTCTAATTTAAATTATTTTTAAGGTGTTTTGTTCCAGACTTCAAATGTTTTTTCTTACATATTAAGATAGGATGGTATATGAAACTGAAATAACAAGTGTATTTTATATCTCATTATTTTGTCAATTTTATAATTCCCTAAATATTTCTTTTCTATTTTTTTTCAATATATGAAATTTATTGTCAAATTGGTTTCCATACAACACCCAGTGCTCATCCCAAAAGGTGCCCTCCTCAGTACCCATCACCCACCCTCCCCTCCCTCCCACCCCCCATCAACCCTCTCAGTTTGTTCTCAGTTTTTAACAGTCTCTTATGCTTTGGCTCTCTCCCACTCTAACCTCTTTTTTTTTTCCCCCTAAATATTTTTAAATTAATTTGTTTTTAATTTACATCCAAGTTAATTAGCATATAGTGCAATAATGATTTCAGCAGTAGATTCCAGTGATTCATCCCCTATGTATAACACCCAGTGCTTATCCAAACAAGTGCCTTCTGTAACGCCCCTTACCCATTTAGCCCATCCCCCCACCCATAGCCCCTCCAGCAACCATCAGTTTGTTCTCTGTCTTTAAGAGTCTCTTGTGCTCACTTTGGCAGCATTTATACTAAAAAAGAATCTCTTATGTTTTGTCCCCCTCCCTGTTTTTATATTATTTTTACTTCCCTTCCTGTATGTTCATCTGTTTTGTATCTTAAATTCCACATATGGGTGGAGTCATATGATACTTGTCTTTCTCTGGCTGATTTATTTTGCTTAGCATAATACCCTCTAGTTCCATCCATGTACTTGCAGATGGCAAGATTTCATTCTTTTTGATTGCTGAGTAATATTCCACTGTATGTGTATACCACATCTTCTTTATCTGTTCATCCCTCAGTGGACACTTGGGCTGTTTCCATACTTTGGCTATTGTCAGTAGCACTGCTATAAACATTGGGGTGCATGTGCCCCTTCAAAACAGCACACCTGTAACCCTTTGATAAGTAGTAGCGCAATTGCTGGGTCATAGGGTAGTTCTATTTTTAATTTTTTGAGAAACCTCCTTAATGTTTTCCAGAGTGGCTACACCAGTTTGCATTCCCACCAGCAGTGCAAAAGAGATCCTCTTTCTCTGCATCCTTGCCAACACATGTTGTTGCCTGAATTGATAATTTAGCCATTCTGACTGGTGTGAGGTGGTATCTCATTGTGGTTTTAATTGTATGTCCCTGATGATGAGTGATGTTGAGATTTTTTTCATGTGTCTATTAGCCATCTGGTTGTCTTCTTTGGAAAAGCGTCTTTTCATGACTTTTGCCCATTTCTTCGCTGGATTATTTGTTTTTAGGGTGTCGAGTTTGATAAGTTCTTCATAGATTTTGGATACTAACCCTTTATCTGGTATGTCCTTTGCAATATCTTCTCCCATTCTGTCTGTTGCCTTTTAGTTTTGTTGATTGTTTCCTTTGCTGTGCAGAAGCTTTTTATTTTGATGAGGTCCTAGTAGTACATTTTTGCTTTTGTTTCACTTGCCTCCGGAGGCATGTTGAGTAAGAAGTTGCTGTGGCCAAGATCAAAGAGGTTTTGCCTGTTTTCTCCTCTAGGATTTTGATGGTTTCCTGTCTTATATTTAGGTCTTTCCTCCATTTTGAGTTTATTATTTTGGGGTATGGTGTAAGAAAGTGGTCTAGGTTCATTCTTCTGCATGTTGCTGTCCACTTTTCCCAAAACCATTTGCTGAAGAGACTGTTTTCCACTGGATATTCTTTTCTGCTTTGTCAAAGATTAGTTGGCCATACGTTTGTGGGTCCATTTCTGGGTTATCTATTTTATTTCACTGATCTATGTCTGTTTTTGTGCCAGTACCATACCTTTTTGATGATTACAGCTTTGTAATACATCTTGAAGTCTGGGATTGTGATGCCTCCAGCTTTGGTTTTCTTTTTCAATATTACTTTGGTTATTTGGGGTCTTTTCTGGTTCCATACAAATTTTAGGATTGTTTGTTCTAGCTCTGTGAAGAATGCTAGTGTTATTTTGATAGGGATTTCATTGAATATATAGATTGCTTTGGATAGTATTGACATTTTAACAATACTTGTTCTTCCAGTCCATGAGCATGAAGTATTTTTCCATTTTTTTGTGTGTCTTCTTCAATTTCTTTCATAGGCTTTCTATAGATTTCATTGTATAGATTTTTCATCTTTTTGGTTAGGTTTATATAATTCCCTAAGTGTTAAAGGAAAGGCTCTGATTATTGCTAAGGTTCCTTCTCACTAACATGCTGTAATTCTGATAATTCTGTTTTGACATCTCCTATTGAGATGCTGATTTCAAAAATGAATGCCTGAAGATTAAATTTTTCCCTAAAGTAACTCATAGTCTTTTTATCTTGGTCTAACTTCCATATATAGTATAATATAGACAGTCATGCCAGTTTTAGGTCAATGAATTGTTTTATGTCAGTTGCCAGATACATTATGGATCATCCCCCTGAGGAAGAATCTTGCTAAAGGAAGGAAAATCATCAAAAAATGACCAGTCCTGGGGCACCTTAGTGACTCAGTCAGTTGAGCCTCTGACTCTTGCTTGATCTCAGCTCAGGTCTTGATCTCAGGGTTGTGAGTCCAAGCCCCACATTGGGCTCTGTGCTGAAGCCTTCTTAAAGCAAAACAAACAAAAAAACGACCAGTCCTGACTCTGTCTAGCACTATCTTGGACTATCTTATACAGCCTCACACATTGTGTATTATTAATTCCAGGAGGGCACCATCCTCACACTTTGAGGTGTGAATGACCCTCATGGAATTGCACCCTTTATCTCTTCATATTTCCTTCACAAGAGGATGGGCAGAAGAAAAAGGTAAAGAACTTTTTAGCAGGGTGGGGCATATGAAGTAAATGCAGCTTAATTTACATCATTTATACAGATACGTATGAAAAATCCTACTCTATTTCTTTAAAATTTAGAAACAACAGTTTTTTATCATTTGTCAATAAGGGAACAAGAAATGAGTGATGGAAAAATGAAGAAATAAGAGTAGGGGCTCCTGGACAGATTTTACCAACCAGGGTGGCCCTGTGGATACCTGATTTATGGAGTATTTTCCAAGTGGTCCCATACACAAACTAATCACCAAATTGCTTAGCCAGGAGCAGTGCAATGCCAAGTTTCCATCATCCCTGCCAGACTCTGTGTGTTTGTTTTGTATGATTCCCTTTTTAACACTGTACATGAAATTTCTTCCCTTAGCTTAAAAATAAACCTATCTTGAAAGTGAGTATAACTAGGGGCACCTGAGTGGTTCAGTTGGTTAAGTATCCAACTTGATTTTGACTCAGGTCATGATCCCATGGTTTGTGAGTTGCAGCCCCATGTCAGGCTCTGTGCTGACACTGAAGAGTCTGCTTGGGATTCTCTCTCCCTCTCTCTCTGTCCTCTCCTGTGCTCTCTCTCAAAATAAATAAATAAACTTTTTTTTTAAAAAAGTGAGTATAGGGGCGCCTGGTGGCTCAGTCGGTTGAGTGGCTGACTTCGGCTCAGGTCATGATCTCGCGGTCCGTTAGTTTGAGCCCCGCGTCGGGCTCTGTGCTGACAGCTCAGAGCCTGGAGCCTGTTTCAGATTCTGTGTCTCCCTCTCTCTGACCCTCCCCCGTTCATGCTCTGTCTCTCTCTGTCTCAAAAATAAATAAACGTTAAAAAAAAAATTTTTTTTTAAAGTGAGTATAACTAGAGATTGGTCAATATCATATGCAAATAAGCAAGTGCTGGTTACTTGCGGTAGGAAACAAAGAGTAAGGAAAAAAGTTGGAGAAAGTGATGGGAAGACAAGTTCTGAAAGAAGTGTGCTAGATGTTCAATAGATATTTTTGTCTTAAGTACAGTTCATTTGAGTGGTAATGTCCAAATAGATTATTGCTGTGCTTTGAATTTTTGATGAGTTTCGCAGCTTTTAAAAGTGGAATTTATATTAGCTGTGCACTTGAAAATAACTAGTCAGCTTTTAGTTTTACAGTACAAGTTTACTTTTGGTGGGGGCGCCTGGGTAGCTCAGTTGGTTGAGCCTCCAACTTCAGCTCAGGTCATGGTCTCACTGCTCATGGTTTGAGCCCCGCATAGGGTTATGTGCTGACCGCTCAGAGCCTGGAGCCTGCTTCGGATTCTGTGTCTCCCTATCTCTCTCTGCTCTTCCCCAGCTCATACTCTGTCTCTCTCTCTCTTTCTCTCAAAAATGAATAAACATTTTAAAAAAATCAATCAATAAAATCAATAAAAAAGAAGTTTACTTTTGATGTAGATATTTGTTTTCCCAAAGAGTTTTGACAATGAACATATCTGTGAATAAAC